GTTACAAATAATATTTTCAGATGTTAAAACAAATAGCTGAGTAGGTAGGTAAACAAGGTTGCAGCACATTTTCAATTCTTTATATTTGTTTTCTACCTCCCCGTACAATTCAGAAGCTCTATTAATCTTAAAGTATGCTGATTTTTTATTTCCTAAAAAAACCTTGTGTAATTCATTTACAAATACATAAACCGCATAAATTGGTGTCTGTAACAACTTGCAATAGTTGAGATCTAACATCTGAAAATTAAATAGACTGAATTGAACTAAGTCCCCCCAAGTTTTATCTATCACAAAGCAGTGCAACATAATTTGCCATAATCTGTGCAACAGTAAATATCAAAGAAATGGAACCATGACTCATCTTACTCCACATGACTAGACAACTTCTTAGCATGGTGATTTGGGTCATTTGAAGAATTTGGGCAGTAATAAGGTTCTCGTACATTAACTAGCTAGGACTAGTCTCCAGATTTATGTAGCAAAGGAGTTATTTGTCAGGGGTTGAGTCCCAGGAGATGTTGAACATTCTGGATCCAATTCAACAGAGTATTTAAGCACATATTTCACTTTAAGCATGGAAGCAAATCCTCATTTAAGCTATAGTTCTCGGTGCCTTGAAGAACTAAATTCTGTTTTCCTAAATTCACAAGCAGCTTAACTATGAACAAAATAACTCAAAGAGTCAGATGATACAAGTCAAGCCATAAAGAGTAAACTGCAACAATAAGATCCAGTTGTTCCAGCAAGTCTGTTTCCTTTTAGCTAACAACCTCTCTGCTTTGCAACTGTTGTCTTATATCCATGCTTTCTCCACCACAGCTAATTAATTCCTAAAGTACAGTACACAGCAATATTAATTTCCTGAACAGCTCTCCTCCTTGAATAAGGCAGATGTGCTTCAGTTCCATGCTGGCTGTCAGCTTCAATTATTTTGGAACCAGCTGAATTCTCACTACAATCACAGTTGTCATTGTTGACTTGGTGAGAACAGGCTTTGCCTGTGAGATGATGTACATATCCCTGCATTCTCCCCACTTTCCTAAGTATTTAAAACAAATTCCCTGTAAAAAACTGTTTAAACCAAAGAATTGTTGCAGAGCCAGTTATTTTTGTTGCACATAGGAACATTTTTTGTTGCAAATAGGCTGAGGGACTTGGGTCTTCTCAGTCTTGAGAAGAGAAGGCTTAGGGGAGATCTAATTAATGAGTACAAATACTTAAAGGGAGGGTGTCAGGAGGACAGGGGTGGTCTTTTCTCAGTGGTGCCCAGTGACAGGACAAGAGGAAATGGACACAAACTTCAGTATAAGAAGTTCCACCTAAACATGAGGAGGAACTTATTTACTGTGAGAGTGGTAGAGCACTGGAACAGGCTGCCCAGAGAGGTGGTGGAGTCTCCTTTTCTGGAGACATTCAAAACCCACCTGGACAAGTTCCTGTGCAACGTGCTGTAGGTAGACCAGCTCTGGCAGGGGGTTTGGACTACACGATCTCCAGAGGTCCCTTCCAACCCCATATAATTCTATAGTTTTTGGAGTAAACAGTGACCTCAGCACTTTATTGACCTAATGAAAAGAATAGGCTTAACTGCTACCCCTCATCAGAAGAGCCCTGGGAAGCAAGATTAACAAGCCTAGGAACAGCAACATTTTATGCAAATAGCACCTGAACTGAAGCAGGTTTTAATTCTTGTGGCTGAGATTAAATTGACACATCACCATCTGTACCATTCCCGAGTAGGATACCTCTAGTACACTTGAAAACAGTGACTCTGAGATTTGTACTGCTGTGTTCAGTTTTTCAGATCAGTAAGACAGTTCCTGTTTTGCGGAATTTGGAGCACTTCAGTCCCCCTGTGAACACAATGTCTTTTTGATGTCCAAGAGAAGACAGAAGAGTATTCATAGGAATATTTCAGTCTTTTCATAATCTAATGAATGTACACGAGCATGCTAAAGAGGGTTTGAGCGTCGGGGATTTTTTTTTTCCATAAAATACTTTCTAGAATACATGTTGGGTGTTTATGCTTTTGCCTCTCAGTTACTGAATGTTGTCCTGTGATTTTGTTTAAAGGAAAGTTAAAGAGATAGACTCCAATAACCTGTATTTATAGAGTAACTGAGTTAGATATTTTCTCAAAACTACACATTCCAGCAATAGTTTTTTCATTGCTTCCAGCCTATACAAACACAAGTTTGTTCAGTTAGCTTCTGGCTATGATCCAGTCAGATGGTTAGATGCTTGAATGAACTCAGAGAAATATTTTTACAGTGTGAAGAATTTGTGCTTAATCACTTGGGGAAAAAATATTCCATTTTGATTCTTGGCTACAGTACTTATCTTAAATTGCTTAGTCACGTGAAAGCATAATTTCGCTAGCTAGCAGATATCCCTTTGAAATTTCACTTGCAACATGCTTTAGCTCACCAGCTTTGACCCTTATGTAAGGTCATCTACACAGCTGTTTAAATAAAAATATACACCATGATAACTCACAGTATGCTCCAGTCATGCAGAAATGTGAGTGAACAGCTTATTGATTATAGTGTCTGACATGATCTGCTTGTAATTCGGAAATCAATAACCTGGTTTCTTCCTCTTTTCTCCACCACCTGCCTTTCCCCCAAATTCCAAAACTATCTCTGCATTCAAATAATGCTGATGTTGGATTCCCATCCTAATTTTGCAACAGAAGTATTTCTATAATACTAAAATAATTTTTCACATTTTACTTTGGTCCAAAGGTCTGGGTGATGGTTGTGAAAGAAATGCATTAAAAACTACAGAAATAATGCTCAAAAGACACCTTAAAACAAGGCAGGGATATAGAAGAGTTTGGCTGATATTAAAATTATAACTGGCATAAGAAGAAAATGCTCAGCAGACAGCACTGGTCAAACTATTGACGCCTCATCATTTCACCCAGCTGACAAAACAGCTACTGAGCATGATCTTTTCCCAGCCTGCCTAACCCCTTCCTGCTACATTACCAGATGGCAGGGAAGCCTTAGCCCTCTGCAAGATGCTTTCGCTAATTTAGTACCATTATACATAATTGACATTTCCCAGTTAGCTTCTCACTAGGTACTACTGGTCTCTTTCAGTAGATTTACAGAATGTTACGGGGCTTGAAAACATTTGAGGTTATTGCTGAAGAGGGAAACAGGGCATGCAGCAAACTAATGGAAGAAATCAAATATTTAAATAACACATGTAAAAGACTTCAGGCATCTTACATGGCACGTCAGTAAAGAGTCAATTATGGGGCACAGAAAGAATCTAATAATAACTAAAGTAGGCCAAATGCAAACACTGTCATCCAGGCAAAAATTTAAAAGAAGCTATACAAATAGCAGTGAAGGAAGACAAATATGCACTCTGAGCATGCATACCCCCGAGTACCCTTACTGAATCACGTTATGAGAATATGATCTACCAAGCTCGGGGAATTCTGAATTCAGATACAGCTACATTTCATCTGAAAAGCTAGCCAAACCCAAGCCACTTTGCACTCCCAAACTGCCACAAATGCAGAAAAAAAAAAAAAATCACTGCAAGTACTTTTGTACCTACCTGATTTGTTATACTGGCTAAAAAATGAACAATGCACAGTGTTGCATCGTTTCTACTAGGCTTAAAATGCAAAGGTGGCAGCTAAAAGCAGCGGGAACAGTAATCAGAAGAGAATAATGCTGCAGGAAGCACAAAGCAAGGATCCAAGTTTCAGCAAGTATTCAAAATACTCAATTCACTACCTTGCAGCTTCATGTATTGAGGGTTCTGCATACATATTAAAGTATTGACAAAATAGCACGGTATTCCAAGACAAAAGACAAACATAAGATCCCTTAGTGAGACGCATTAAGAGTTATTCAGGGAATGCTGAAAAATAGGGTTGTCAAAAGGTTTTTTTTAGTGTAAGCTTTTATAAAATAAACATACTTTTTTTAAAAACTGCGTTCTCAGAAAGAATCCAGTTCTAGTACAACAGGTGTAAAAGTTCATCCTTCATTTAAAAAACTATCTACTAGCCTGCAGTCTTTTAAGCACTGTATATATTACTACATCAGTGTAAGAGGATATACATTTGCTCTCCTGAAAGAAGTCAACACATTTGTACCATTCTGTACTTTTGTGATGAAAAAATCAGTGACTCCAGGAATTGTTTTCTATGGAGTCAGTTGCTTTCAGTGCAAGACTTCCCAAAAATCTATCTTTGGAGATAAAAGTTTGTTTACACCTTAGCTGGCTTTCACTATTATGCTCTCACTTTCAGCCTGTGGTGCCTGGGCTGGGTTTTGGAGGGCTCTGGCACATGCCCAGGCAGTGGTGCTCTCCCTTGCTCTCTGGGGGACATTCCAGGGCTTAAACACACCATTTCACAGAACTCTAAAGTTTATGCGCTGAGGGTTTGTAATTTAACACATAAGACACACACATTGCCCTTCACAAAGGTTTCCATGCTTTTTCTCAGAAATAAAGAGAACTTAAATATTCTTGTGGAGTCAGTGTGGTAAACTAAATCAAATTAAGTGATATAATTTATCATACGAGACTACCCACAGCATTTTTGAAGCATAGCTAAGGGGGAAACTTGGGAGTGCAAATGAGATGCCATTTTGGGAGCAGAAAAGGGATGTGAGAACTTAAAATGGGCAAAAAGCATACAGAAAAAAGGTTGTGTTCTCCTCACAACCCAGACAAAACCAGGAAAATATTTCCCCCAATTTATTCCTTACTTTGCACTAATCTTAAGATTCTGCAGAGCCATACACAACACTTTTTTTCCAATGCCTGTTTTTTTACCAGGGATTCTCTTTACTTGCCCCAGATTTATTTCCTCTGATCAGGCATACTATGGCTAACCTTCACAGTTCTGCTGCAAAGCATCCCTTCTCTTCTCCTCCCCACGTTTTCATATAGCTAAGAAATCATTAGCAATTAAAAGCAAAAATAAATTTATTCTCTTCTTTTATAGGTTTATCAGTTAGTCTTACCTGAAAAGTAGTAGAAACATTCAGCTCCCTCTGCTTCCGCCTCTCAATGCTTTTCCACAATGACTGAAAACACAAAGTTTAATTACCTCAGATTGGAAAATATAGCTCTGCTCCACAGCCTTATTATGAACTGAGGTACTGAATACTGCAGTAATAGCAGTTTGATTAAATTGCATTGTAGAAACATGAAACCATTCTATATTCTAATCCCAGGTTTGCTTTTTACATTTTTAAAATAAACATCGATAATACTCAATTTCTCACTTCTGCACAGTAAGCCAAACCTTGCAATCATCATCATCAAAATAAGTCTAAATCTGTTTGCTGCAAACATTTCAAAATGCAGCATACCACGGTCCCTCCCTCCCTCCCATCCCACCACCTTCTCACACGTACGTTTGACTGATATTTTCCAACACATGGAAACATTCTCTTTCAAACATGCTTCTTATCTTTCAGGGAAAACCTTTCCTAGGCCAGATGCTTTGGTCCTCTTTTGCATTTATTTAATTGTTTGCCACTTAACAGGAAATACTTAACACATGATGACAAACGCAGACCTCCCCCGTTTGCAATCATGTCTTTCAAGATGCAAATGCTTGCAACTCGTCCTGGCTTGCCTTAGAACAAGCAGAGACTAGAAACAACTATTTCTTTCCTGGGATAAGTTTTTAGGGGAAGTGTAAATTTGCATTCACTGCCATTGATTAGATCAAGCTCATTGGCAATTAACTCCATTTGAAAGGAAACAAACGTTTCGTTTAGGCAAATCCTGGTCTGTGTATGTGTGTGCTTAAGAAGCTGTAGTTAACTTCCACAAGTACATTTCAACGGGTAGAATGAGAGTGAATTCACTTAGAGACCTAAACTAGGACAGAACAAAAAGGCATATCCGAATCACTAGTTGGTGTATTTCTCCTGAGGATGTATATGGCTGGTTTTCCACTGTTTTAACACCCTTTGTAATAAAAGAGGGCTGGCACTTGGGGCCCTACAGAACAAGTGAGTTCTGAAGCAGTGCTTTCAAGGAGGAAAGTGTCAGCAAAGCTGGGATAAATGAGCATTTCTCTCAGCGGTAAGTCCAACTTAAGCATCCCCTGCGACCTTCTTACTCCATACTCTTCTTCTGCTTGCTGCTGATACCACAGCTGGTGTGGCTACATGTTAAATAAAATCAGGGCAGTGATTCCATCTAGGAAAATTGCTCAAAAACAACAATAACTGCCTACAGGTACCATTGTAAAGGAAGGATTTGGGTAAAGACAGTAGAATACATTATAAATTGTCTTTTATCCCTAAAGATAGATTTTGGAAAGCCTTACCGTGAGGGAGGCTTCTGTCTGTGCCATGGCTATGCAGACCCACAGGCAAGATGCACTTTGGGCAGCTGGCGAGGGGGCCCTGGCATGTGGCTATATGCAGTGGAGCAGCAGTGGTCCAAAAGCCATCTGGGAGCAGCGAGGAGAAGTGAGCCACGCTTCAGCATCCCCCGTTTCTGCCTTTTCCAGATGAACTGCAGTGACAGAGCACTGAGCTGTCTGTCAACAGAAAGAGGGATTTTTTTTCCTGGTTGCATAAGGAAGCAGTCAGACCTTGCTGTTCTCGTAATTTGTCTCCAGCTCAGCTGACTAAGATGTACAAGTCAGGAACTGACGTCTTTCTTAACAATTTTCCAATCATTTTTTATAGGTATTGTAAACTACATTGAAGCTATCCCTTCTCAGTTCACTGCAGTGGGCTGTGAGTCTGCAACAGAGCTCAGTCCATCTTATGTAGCCAATATCAAATATTTGGTACATAAAATTATTAGCTGTTAACATTTATTTAATGCCTTCATGTAGCAACAGTAGATTATAGCATCCTACTACTACATAATTATTAACAGTGCAGAGGATCCTTTAGTTGTTAATGACACAGAATATTTGGATACTGCAGCAGTGTTGCATGAATGACTCTTTCTTTAAAAGCTGAATTATATCAGAGATTTGTTTCAATTTACATTACCTCTGATGGTCTCTCTTCAGCCTTTACACAGAATTCCAATTAATGTCAAAGAGGAGTAATCACACATGAAATGAATGGAGAATATACCCCTTAAAATTTAATGCATACACGAGATATTCTTATTAACTATGGTCTTACTTAATTTTTATACTAGAACATTAACTATAATTTGCAGAATAAGGAGCTTCTGAGTTCCCCCTTGAAAGAAATGAGGCGCTGCTGTTCATGCTAGCGTAACCTGGCTGAGCTCAGAAATGGTACTGGAGGCTGTAGATAAAATGATGCACTGAATTCCCCCAACAACTTTAATGAACTCTCAAAGCATCTCACATGAAACCCACACATGAGATTGAACCATGAAAGCTGATAGGATGTTGTCTAAATCAACAAAATACTACGCCTAGATAATGAAGCAGTTAATCAAAAGTTGAGGTGGAGGATTCTCTGTCTTTGAAGAAGGGAAGAGCAGAATAGAACCAAGAGTATTGACAGGCGAGTAGAAAAACTTCATAAAGCGTAATTTTTTTTGGACTGTAATGGGATGAGCAGGAAAAAAGAGATTACAGCATAAGTAATATATGAAAGCATGATGGAGATACAGCTTCCAAGCAGTAAAAGATGGTGTAATTTGACTGAGATTGTTTGTGTTACTTCTTTTCAGTTGATGACAAAAAAAACCCAAACAAATGACCTGCTCCACCCAAAAATGCAGCACTCCCCTGGCACTTCACTGAACTAAGGCGAACTTTAAGGTTAAAGCCCTCCAAAGTTTCACCTTCATATAGCTGCTTATTTGCATCAACTTAACTGCTTTTCCCTCTGTTGAAGGTTTTGGTACTTTTCACAGTGAAGGACTATGAGCAAAAATCTCAGCACTGAAGAATGCAGCACCAAGGCCACACTCTGAACACCTGCTCTCAGCAGTGTGAGCTGAATCAAAGCCTCAGCAAGCCAACACTAGTACAAAAGTGGCTGGGGACAAGGTGTTGCAGGAAGAGGATAGCATTGAAAGGCAAAAATCTGTAAAGAATCATTGATTTATACTGGGGAGAAACAAAAGCAAAACAGAAAACCTGCCACAGTCCTTGCCTTGTTCTCTTATTTGCATTTGGCCTTCAAACAAAATTTGTGCATCCCATTCCGTACTAGAAGTACACTCTTGAGAGTACTTCTAGTACAGAATCAGTGATAGTGGGATGAAGCGCAGCACGCAAGAGTTATTTTTAAGTGCTTACTTGAACTCATCTAAATCTAGTATGCTAGAGCATACTGCTTGAGCATTTCATTTTTTTCTATGTGGTTTCCAAGTTAAAATGTAAAAGCATAGGCAGTAGCCTCCATAGGCTGCGTCAGTATGGAGAAAATACAGTTTGGAGAGCACTGTGCTGGTTTCTAGAAACAGTGAGTCCTTTAAATAAGGTAACAAACCTTACTAATGTTGCTTTCAGAAGCTTCAGCTTTTTAATCAGCTGACTGGAGTGTTTAATGAAATCCAGTCCTTGGAGGAAGGACTCTCTGGCCACTTCAGTTTTGTTATATTCAATATCAGCGAGCAGTGACTCAGTCAAGGACTGCTGTAGGTAGGAAAAAAAAAAAGGGTATCTGCTACAGTTGAAAGAGAGGCATTAGTCTTGGTATAGGAGCAGTCAGTGTTTTGTGACTGTAGGTGTAACTTAAAGGCAAAAAACCCACAGAAAATACTTGGAAAAGGACCTGAGAAAAGAAGTATCAAGGAAACAACTTAGAAACATGAAGCAAGTCCTGTGTATCAGACATGGCCCTACACAATACCAGTAAGGTACCATTTCTAGAGCATGTGCTCTGCCTTCATCATGCCATCAGTCGGTATGAACAAGCAGTAGACCTCATAAAGAGAGCTTCATGTCATTATCTACACCCATGGGAAAAATCTGAAGAGGTGTATTGGCACACACAGCAACAGCAACCATTAGTAACAGAGGAAAAAGAAAGCATCAACATATTCCTATCCATAAATTCCAACTATAAAATGGAGCTTTTGATAATGTCAGAAGTACTCTTGAAGGTTACACAAATCATTCTTCTCAAAATGAGGAGAAAGAAAGTATTGGCAGGGATTCCCAAATGCATGGTGGGCTGATCAAATTAAATAGAAGCGTGGTACAATTAATGACACAGAAGAAATGGACACTAACGTAGGAAATTTGCCAGAAGTATCAGGATTCCCCAAGAAAAGTGCCAATCGTACCATCTCAACTAGTCACAAGTGACATTGGCCAGAGTGAAAATGGGCAGCTTTTGGTTGAGGAAACTGTGAGCGTATGACTTACAGTGGTCTGTGTCACTGGTCTTCCAGTAGGCATTGTGCCCATGGCTGTGCCATGGAAATGTGTGATGAGCACAGCTTAGGAACAGCAAATTCCTGTGCTTATATCAGTGACTTTCATCCTGAGATCTCTATCTATCTTTCTTCTAGTCGGTGAGTTAAATGAATAAACAGTATATAGAAAAGAATTTATGTTAAAATGGAAGAACACAAATCGAGTTTCCACAGAACAGCTGTATGTTGCAACATGCAGCAACTGTGATGAGCTGACAGCTACAGTGGAAGAGAGGATGGTTAGGGAGATAGATAAAGAGCAAGAGACATTGGAAGAAGAAATAGCCATAGTATTGCAAATAAAAACAATCCCAAATATAGTATATTGATACTGTAAAAATGTAGCTACAGGAGCTGAAGAAGTTAAGACTCAATAATCATCTTCTACATACTCTGGTATGTAGACATACTCTGGTGACATGAAGGCAAAAGTAACATGAAAAACACACGCATCCTCCCAAAATATTCCAGAACACAAATACACACACATCGAGAAGCTAACTTGCAAACTCATCATGTTATAAACTGAGACTGAACAACCTCACTCTTAATGCATTGCACGCTTGCCTACAAAAAAAAAAAAAAAAAAAAAAAAAAAAAAAAAAAAAAAAAATGTGAGGTGGGTTTAAAATCAAACAATTCAGGAGTACTAATGAAATCTCTCTATACCTGCTTTGTTCTCAACAGCAGCTCTCAATATCTTATCACATGGAGTCATGACTCCTAAATCAATAACTCTAAAAAAAAAAAAAAAAAAAAAAAAAAAAAAAAAAATTAGAAACGTTGTGGAGTTCACTCAGTTCTCATTGGGCCATGGTAGGCTTGTGCTTGAAGTAGTATGAGTGGTTCAGTCAGTTATTACATTTGTTCAAGTTTTCAGCTAAATTTAATGGTGTTTCATTTTAGATCTAGTTAGAGGCAGATCTGAAGAAGGGAAGTTATGCAGCAGAACAAGTGCTGGGAGTCCACACTGCATGTCTACTTGGCAGATGGGCAGTGAGTATCCTTTGATGCCCTGAGTGCTGGTAAGGATGTCTGGAAGTTTGTTCTTTATTTCTATGTGTAGTTTTTCTTCCTGAAAGGTTTATTTTGAAATAGCCTTGCTTATCTAGAGTGTATTCAGTGGGCACATCTATGTGAAACACTTGCTAGCTGTTGGCATGCCACATGATGCATCCTTGTAAAGCCTGTCAAAAAAGTTGCAAGGAGAGGAGTCTGAAGCATCTGCTTGGTTGGAGAGCATTGAATAACAGTCCTTCATGGTTTGAAAGTACAGAGTCTGCGCAGTCCTCACTGCCTCACATGGGTGCAACTCCAGCCGCAAAGATTCATCTTTTGACGTGGATATGGGAATGCTTATTTTGTATTTAAGAAATAGGCACAGAATCCTATATAGCATATTGAGAGCCAAACGTGCCTTCTGGAACGCAGGCAGAGCGTGCTGGTGAAACACACCTCTTGGGACTGAGTCTTACTTAACCGTGCAGTGAGTTTAAAGGATGTGGGATCAGTTCTCTCCTGGCTGGTTGTGAGCATCACCCGTGGAATCAATGCCACCACATGCATCTTGCAGAGCAAGAGTTGGTCTGTTTGTATGCGATTTGAAAACACTTGCAAAAAACACTAGCAGCATACGAGAGCTCTCAGTTATCCTCTGAAGACTAGGCTGTCTGCCAAGAGAACAGCACATTAGACAGACACGTCAATAATTCTCATCATCTATCCATCAAAAAAAGAGATTCCATTTACCTTAAAATGCATCATATGTGGATTTTACCATGCTGAAAAGGGCAATGCTTGTAGGTCTCTGAACTATCATAATGTAACAGGATTGGTTCCCCTTAATACTGCTCAGACACAGCTACTGCCTCAAGGAATTCATATTAATTCAGCAAATTCCATCCCTTCCTTGACAGGAGTGGGCTATTTAACCATAAATTGGCTAAACTCTATGCCTATAACTGATGAAATGAGGTGTGCCTGTACATAATGTTTAACCAGAAAATTTAACTAAAGAAATAAAAGTTGAACATCAGCCAATAAAAGAGAAGTGGCAGTGATGGTCTCGGCAGCAAAGCTATTCCCACACTGGGTGCAGGACAAGCATTTCAGAATGTAAAATTAAGTGAGTCAAATTCCAGGCTGGTCATTGCAATATACCTTGTAAAATGTTAAATTTAAACCGAATACTGTTGAACATGCTATCTG